GGAGGAAAATAAGTAAATCAATAAAAGAAAGGGGAAAAATCAGGCCAAGTGGTTTGTGTTTTTCAGCATCCTTTTAACCGAGCAGTCACTAGTCACACACAGAGAATCTGTGCTTGCCTTTACAGCAGTTGGTGTCTCCCACTGCTGAGAACACTGGGGCTGTTCAGCCTGGAGAAGAGAAGCTGCGTGGAGACCTCAGAGCAGCTTCAGTGTCTGAAGGGGGCTACAAGGATGCTGGGGAGGGACTCTTCATCAGGGACTGCAGCGACAGGACAGGGGGTGATGGGTTCAAACTGAAACAGGGCAAGTTCAGGTTAGATCAAAGGCAGAAGCTCTTCCCTGTGAGGGTGCTGAGGCGCTGGCACGGGGTGCCCAGAGAAGTGGTCAATGCTCTCTCCCTGGCCTCTGTTCAAGGCCAGGTTGGACAGAGCCTTGGGTGGCACGGTGTAGTGTGAAGTATCCCTTCCTAATGTCGGGGTTGAAACTAGATGATCTTAAGGTCCTTTCCAACCCATGATTCTATGCTGATGAAGGCAGTTCTAGAAGGGACCTGAGCTTAGGTTCTGGTGTTAGCTGCTGTAGCAGTTCTTACTGTTGACTTGAGAATGACTCAAACATGACTATTTTGTCTGATGTGCTGAAAATCCATCACTGGGTTCGTGTGAATCCCACCAAAGTCCATACTGACTTGGAAGAGCTACAGCACATGCATCCATAGCCTCATCTTCTCAGCCAGCTGATACCACACCAAAACTGCCCAGGCATCCAAAATCAAAACCTGAGCTAAGTGGGTTATCAGCCAAAATCCTCCACAGTTTTTGAGCATAGGGTGGAATATCTTTTGTCTGAGAGGTCTTCGATGGTTCCTGTTTGTACGAGTGAAACAACGAGGGGTTGTTCTGGTAGAGGCACATCAAGGCAATGTGTGAGCATGGTTCTCTCTCTGAAAGAGAGTCAGCAAAGCACTTGGCTAAGTTGCAATCATGAGATCTTTATTACTGATCTGTTCTCAGGACACAGTGGATGTGGCTTCACCTTTTGTCTGATTTAGGCTGAATTTGCAGTGGGAACAGAGAAATCCTCTTCACTCATCAGATGAATAGCGAATGTAATATGGAGAAAAAAATTGGGAAAGAATAGATATGGCAGTAGAAGGTGCTGGTTTTATGAACTAATTCTTCAGTGTTTAAATATGTCAGGGTTTGGGGACTTGTTATAATTAAAGCAGACAAGCAAACATGAAAGGCAGAAAACCATTTGGCTTTCCAGAGCCTACTGAGCTGGTGGTGGAATAGGTCCTCAGCCCACAAATCCAGCAGGGAATATAAATGATTGATGGTAAAAGCTTAGCTCATCCACTTGGAAGTGTGATTGACAGAGAGTGTTCCTGGCAAATGTTTGGAATTCTGCAAGCTGGGAAGGAAACTGCAAAGCACTGACAACCAACTGGCCATCTGCATTTCTCTAGCTTCTTGAGCTGTCTTCAGAGGTAAGGTGAAATGTAGGAAGCCTGGAGTTAAATGTGAAGAGAGGCTTTTGCTTCAGGTTCCCTAATGCTGCCATTATTCTTTGCCAACCGCCTTCTGGCGCACTTAGAAGTCTCCCTTTGCTCTTCTTGCCTTCCAATTGCGGATGCTTCTGATAAACACCCCCTCAATCTGCCCTCTTTTTTTCTCCTTTTGCTTCTTTTTTCCTGAGTGACTGGTCTCACTTTATGGAGAACAGATAAACAGAGCGAGATGGACTGAAGTTCCTTCTCACGTACAAGAGGGCAGTTGTTCTAATCCAGTACAGATACTCCCGAGTGGAATTGCAATTCCTGCTTGCTATATAAAGACTTCCTACTGCTCCTTCCTCTATCCCCATTTTTTTTTTTCTGTGAATGTCAACCACAATTTTATTTCAGAATCTGACAACTGAGATTGCTATTTTGGTATGTATCATTTAGAAAATGCACCTGACAAACAAAGCAGTGTGGTGCTTGGCCACATGCCTTGCTTTGCAAACCAAACTGGAACACAGGATTGATTTTTGACTAGATCACTGGCTCCTAACCCGATTGACTTGAAGCACGTTGTTGATGATGGAAAACAGCACAACTTCTTGGTTTAGATTTATTTCTTTGTTAAATAATAGAAGCCTCTGACTTGGGCTTTGGTTCACGTGTTGCTTTTCTCAGCTTGGTTTGGCTCCATGCAACTCCTTCCTGTGCTGCCCTTGCCACTAGTGAGAAGCAGTTCCCTGGGGTAGCAGGAAACTGCAGGGATGGGGGGGCTTTGGGGAGTTACAAATAGCAAGGGGAAGGGGGTATGCTGCCACAGGTGAAGGACACTTGAGTTGTGTCTTTCTGTCTTACGTGAAAAGCAGCATTACGTTTTAAAAAGAGGAAGATGTGGCCAATTCCTGCTGTAGGTCGTTTTCCTGGGTAGGCAAAGCAGCTCCGTGGGGTTTGTACTTGCATTGTTCTAATCATTCTTCATGTTACTGCGGGGCAGGAAAATAATTATTGTCATTTTAAGGTAGGGCAACTTGTCTGGAGACGTTAGAAATTCGTTTAGAAACAAGCTAGGCTTCTTGTGCCTTGTGCTTGCACCACTGGCTCTAACTGTTGCTCATCAGTGAGGGCACATTTGGATGCTTGCTGGATTGCAGAGCAGTAATTAAAAGAGTTGTTTAGCTAATTGCCTGGAAGATTGTGAGTAAAAGCATATTTGTTCCAAAGGCAAACAATCCATTTTTACCCAGTGAAGCATATCAGTTTTTATGGTGCATAAAAATTGTTTCATTGCAATTTTGAATATATTGTGTGTTTGTTTCTCTAAAAGCCTTGTGGATGATGATCTATTTATGTGCATTAAAGTTTTTTTCTTAGGCCGTTTTTAACGTATCTACTGAAAAAGCGTATGTTTAAATGGTTGCAAATGTGAAAAGTCCTTGCCTTTAAAATGAGAAGTTGCTCACTGCACCAGGCTGTTGAACTACCACTGTGCTTAGTGATACGCAACCTTTGGAGTATTCCTGTATGTTGGCACCATATAAAGACACTAGTGATGGAAGAAAGGATATTATTACAGTGCTTTTGCCTAACTTGGTGGAGAAAACATATGCTAACGGATCAGGTTGTCCCCCTATACATATGCATTTAAAATGGAGATACAGTCTGTGCTCCTTCAAAGTGTTCAGAACTAAACTGATCATGATAGTTCTTTACACCTTGACTCAAGATAGTTGTCTTGACTTTCACACATGACTATTTATTTAGGGAATGAAACCTAAAAGGGCGCAGGAGAAGTCGATAAAGTAATGCATTTTGATGCTTTGGCTGTGAGAATCGCTCTGGGCAAAGTATTGCTTATAAGACAAGAGACCGTCTCGTCTATCTCTACCACAACTCGGAAGACACTGTGAATGTATTTCTTTGTGCTTAGAAGTGATGTGCAATGGTGATATAACACAGCAGAGGTTTAAGAGGAACGTACCATTCAAAACAGAGCAGTGTAGTTTGGTCGTTATCAAGGTAACAACTGAGTATTCTTATCTTGTTAGCATTGTTGGAATGTTACCATGTTGGAAAACAACCAACCAAGACCATTGCTCTGTAAAGGAGCACCTTTCTCCTAAACGCTCCCTGTTGTGCCCAGCCTGAGCTGGGATATAACTGGTGAAATCCTGACTGGGGGCTGCTCCTCAGGCAGCTTTGGATGCTTTTTTCCCTGGGTTGTACTGTGCAGACTGATGCAAATGACCTCATTGCAGTGTTCCTCAGCAGGGATTTCACTGGCTGCCCCAAGCTCACAGAGTGGACACATGGGAAGGGGGCAAGGAAATGGCCGTGTTTTCTTAATTCCACTGTGAACAGATAAATATTCTTGCCTTGTCAGTATTATCTTGGTGATGGAGTCTGAGACTGGCTTGGGTTGGAAAGGACCTTAAAGCTCATCCAGTTCCAACCCCATGCCATGGGCAGGGACACCTTCCACTAGAGCAGCTTGCTCCGAACCCCGTCCAGCCTGGCCTTGACCACTGCCAGGGATGGGGCTTAACTAGGTCTTCTTGGGTGACGTGGTTTAGTTGGGCGACGTGGTTCAGTGGGAGGTGTCCCTGCCCATGACAGGGGGGTTGGAACTGGATGATCTTAAGGTCCTTTCCAACCCTAACTATTCTATGATTCTTAGTTTGGACTTTGTTGTTACCTTGAGCCTCTGCTGCGTTGTACAGGAGCACACATGCGCAACTCGTGAAGGACTTTGTTGAGCCTCTTGCCACCTGAAGAGCCTTAGAGCCACCAGAGTGAGGCCTGCTCTTCTATGCTGTTATCAAGACAGATTTTTCCTGGCACTGAGCTAGCGAATTAGGGCAAACTTCCTTTCATACTGATGCATTCCAGTGTTTCTGTCTAGCCTGGACCTGCACTGATGTATTAGACAGGATGCTTTTATTGGCCCAGTAGCGGGTAATTGTTGGTCACATTAAGAAAACAACAGAGATGTAAGAAATAAAGCCTTTGCATGGCAGTTAAAGGAAGAAAGGGGGAAAGCATTTCCTCTTAATCTCTTTGAAAGGGGTCAGAAGGGAACATGAACCAAGAATAAGCTGCTTTTCTCAAGTTAGAAAGTAAGACCTTTGCTGCTATTTAAGGGGACTTATCACATGAAACACTTTTGATTGTAGTTTATTCTTACAGAATTTTGTAGGGCTGCTGTAATCAATAAAATGAATGGAAAAGGTTAGCAATGGAGCCTTGCGTGACATGTAGTAGTGTGAGGTGTCCCTGCCCGTGGCAGGGGGTTGGAACAGGATGATTCTAAGGTCCCTTCCGACCCAAACCAGTCTGGAATTCTGTGGTTCTATGGAATATTTCAAAGACTTTTCTGTTTTCCAGACAGAATTTTCTAACCTCATAAAGTAGAACTTTTATTGCATAAATGAGATGTATGTCCTTTTATATCCTTGGTGGAAATCGCACTGTTGTTGAAAGCAATGCTGCTGCTTTTTTGTAGGCAAAGGAGATGTTTTTGGGGACGTGTTCTGGAAGGAGTCTACCCTCGCCCAGTCCTGTGCCAATGTACGGGCTTTGACTTACTGTGATCTTCATGTGATTAAGAGAGATGCCTTGCAGAAGGTGCTGGAGTTCTATACAGCCTTTTCACACTCCTTCTCCAGAAATCTCATCTTGACCTACAACTTGAGAAAAAGGGTAAGTAGCTTTGGTTTTAATATATACCATTTCAGGAGTGTCTGTATGGGAAAAAGTGAGTTGCTTGAATTCTGGTGTTCTTCTCCATAGCCTCTCTTATAAGAAGGTTTTTCAGAGCTTGCCTAAGGCACTACTAGCCTGTAGGCAATAAGTATTTATCCCAGTTCTAGTTCTATAGGGAGCTGGATTGCATATATGGGAGAGTATTTTGCATTTCTCTGAAGGGGACAGATTCCAGCATATTTGTGAGCTGTTACGGACTTGTGATAAAGCGTGTTCCCTACTTTCTACAACTTGAGTTTGTAAGCAAGTGGAAGAAATGGTATGAAATCTAATATAGGGAACAAAGTCAACAACAGTAATGGCAATGGAAAAGTAATATGAGCATGACTGATTCTATCAAGAGTTGTTTCTTTTAGTACCTATCACGATTTGGAATTACTTTGCTTATCTGTAATGTTTTCATTTTCTTATCCGTGGTTCTTGTCTCTTTCCATTTCTTCCTGTGTGTCAGTTCAAGTTATTTTGTCAAATGTGAATCATCATAACCTAATATCCCGTTTGAAATTCTCTCTGTAATGCTCAGTGAAGTGAAGCTCCTCTGTAGAAATGGATTAAAACTGTAGTAGCTGTAATTCAATTGATTTTATGATGCAATGTAAAAGACAGAATTACATTTGAAAATGAATACACTGGAGCACCTAAGTTGAACGAAGTGAGGTGCAAGGTCCTGCCCTTGGGTCAGGGCAGTCCCAAGCCCAGCTACAGGTTAGGCAGAGCAGTGATTCAGAGCAGCCTGAGGAGAAGGACTCGGGGATGTTGGTTGATGAGAAACTGAACATGAGCCGCTTTGTTGTGTGAAGGGGGCTACAAGGATGCTGGAGAGGGACTCTTCATCAGGGACTGCAGCCACAGGACAAGGGGTGATGGGTTCAGACTGAAACAGGGCAAGGTCGGGTTAGATCTAAGGCAGAAGCTCTTCCCTGTGAGGGTGCTGTAGGCACTGCCACAGGGTGCCCAGAGAAGCTGTGGCTGCCCCATCCCTGGCAGTGTTCAAGGCCAGGTTGGATCAGGCTTGGAGTAACCTGTTCTTCCCAACCCAAACTGTTCTGTGATCCACACTTGCTTTAAAATGCCGTGATATAAAGATCCTTGAGATCAGCTAAAGAAACCTGTCGGATAGGCGATTTTTTTTGCTCCTAAAGACAGTTCTCCATGGTAACTTCCAGGTGTCAAGTATGTCCTAGATAATTACCCCTGAGAAAACAGAAACCTTTTCATCTTTCAAGTCTGTTTTGTAAAATTAGACTTCAAGCCTGGAGTATAGATTATTTTTTTTGTACCCAGAGTTGGCTACTGGAATTAAGTAGTGTGATAATGTTTTCTATCTACATATATTATCAACATCATATAATTCGGCTTTTCAGCATTGGGCAAAAACTAATGTGATCTCTGCACTTTGGTTAAGTAATTCAAAGCTCTGCTAGAAAATGGATGTGATTAAAAGCTAAGAAGCAAATTTATACAGGAGGATTTCCTCCTAGGACTTTTTTTTTTTCAAACAATATTGGATTTTGCAAGAGGAGGAGAAAAAGAAGCTGCAAGAAGACTGAGAGATGTCCTGTTAAAAAGTTTGAAAACCAGCTACTTACCTGGTATTAATTTATGTAAGAATCATAGGATCCCAGAGTGGTTTGGGTTGGAAAGGACCTTAAAGCTCCTCCAGCTCCCACCCCTGCCACGGGCAGGGACACCTCCCACTGGAGCAGCTTGCTCCAAGCCCCTGTGTCCAACCTGGCCTTGAACACTGCCAGGGATGGGGCAGCCACAGCTTCTCTGGGCACCCTGTGCCAGCGCCTCAGCACCCTCACAGGGAAGAGCTTCCTCCTTGTATCATACGGGAGGTGCTGCAGCCCCTGCTCATCCTCGTGTCCTCCTCTGGACTTGCTCTAAGAGCTCCGTGTCCTTCTTATGCTGAGGACACCAGAAATAAAAGAAGTACAAGAAGTGACAGAATTTGGTATTGAGAGCTCGTAGAGCATCGGTATCACTGACTGGCATGTTTTAAAATAGCACTGTGGGTAGTGTGGTAAGATGGTCTAAGAATATATAACTCCTTATTTTTTCTTAACATCAGTAGAAATAACAAACTGAGGCATAGAAGGACCAACTCTCCTAAAGCTCACAACCATGCTGGCAGAGTTGCATCATTTTGGATCTGCTCTGAGCCAGAAGTCCCAAATTTAGAAACGAATGCCTACTCCAGAACTGCCACTCTGTATCTGCACGTTCGTCGGCGTAGCTTTTCCCAGCCCAGGTTACAAAATGCTTTCTATCCACAGTGTGGTGATTACTGGGCTGTCAAGTTTCTACACAAAATGCTCCTACTAAAAAGACACATTTTTGATAGCAATTTCCATGCAGGTATTCAAATAATCAGATTTTAATTGAGTAGCAGTCAGCAGAAACGTGGCATTGATTGATAATGGGAGAGTTTGATGCTTCTGGGTTAACAGACTCGCTTTATTTATTTCATTGAAGGCAGGCTGATTGCAGTGTTAAATCACATAAATAATAGATGCGTTTGGAAATGCATAGGAGGTCTGATACTATAGAGAGTTGAGATAATGCGCATTAAAAGGCAACTTTTTAGAGTTTGGGATTTAATCGGGTTTAAATATCTGTGAATCTTTTATAGAAAATAGCTCCCCAGCCTGTCGCTTCTAACACTTCTGGTCTATTTCTGCACATGGAATTTTGTAGAATTCAGATGGACTGGTGCCTTCTGTGAGTTCTGTTTGTGATGTATTACATATCCTTTGGACTATAGCTACCAGAATTACACTCTTCATTTCAATGAACAGTTTCATCTCTGGCTCTCAAAGTGTTCAACTAGTTGAAGTGTAGATATTGCATACTCATCCCAAATATATCCATGCAGATTCCAAATACACGGGGATTTTTTTGCCTGAAGAATCTCCTGGGTGTATTTTTAGATTTGGTTATTCCTCAGAGGTGTCTCCATCTCCAGGGTGCTTTGCCTTCACTTGGCTGTGATACTGAGTCTCACTGCATAATGCAAAATGCTTTCTAGGTGCGTGTCACTCGGCTTAAGTGAGCTTTAGCATTGTTCCCCTCTTTTACCATCTGTATTCACATATTTCTTGACTGGGGGGGTCTCCTCCAGTGATCCACCCCTTCCTTTGTGATGGAACTCCCTCTCTGAGAGCCTTCAGTTCCAGTGGTCAGTGCTGACCTTACAGATGTCCCCCACACTTACTGGCATCTGGATCCACTGTGACAGAAATAAGCAGACATGCAGATGTGCTGTACCAAAACCAATTGGTGTAGACCTGAATTAACTCTAGAGCTGGATTTTGGCAAAGTAAAAACCGTCTTCCCTCTGTTCCTTCTTGCTGGTCCTAAACTGGATGAACTTAAGTTCCTTTCCGAACCAGACCAGTCTGTGGTTCTGTGATGCTTCTGCTTGCGTGTCCCCTTTATGTGCTCCCTCCAACAGGGCTGCAGTTCCGAAATGCCACTGCCCCTGACATCTGAGGGCTTTGTGGCTGAGAGAGTTGCTTCCAGTGCTCTGTCCCTGGTATATCATGGCTGTCCAGGTTCCTTTCACTCGCTTTCTCAACAAACAGCAGTGAAATACTCTGTTGAAAAGCTGTCAGCCCGCTGTCAGGTGCTCCCTGAGCAGTTCCCTCAAGCGACTGAAATCCCTCCTGAAGTTATTAGCTGTCTAGTTACATTGGGCTGGCGGTCAGCCTTAGAAAACTTCCTATTTTTCCTAGAGGGAAAGAGAAAGGAGACCTTAAATTAACTCCTTCTCCTGCCAGTCACTGCAGTTTTCCTCTCATTGGAAACAGGGGGAATCAGCTGCTGCATCTCTCTGGGGCATCTTAAGAATACCGGCACTGCAGCGTGTGCCTGCAGGCGGCTGTATGTCAGACTCAGAGCCTTGCAGCTGAAAGGGACCCGAGAGGATTTCTCAGAACACTTCCTGCTGCAACGACGGTGTGAAATCAGAGCAGGTTAACTTGACGTTTCTCTCCACTTCTGGAATCTCAGGGAGGACCCAGGGTGCAGGCACTGGGGGTATGTGGGATGGTCAAGTGACAAACTCCCCTTCCTGGAAGGTGGGCTAGACGGAAGAGAGATGGAGCTTTGGAGGGCAGCGGGATTCACCGCATGGACGAAGGGCTGCTTTTCCCCGGTAAATACTGGGGCTCCAGCCTGGGCTTCGGATCTCCAGCTTAGTAGAACCATAAGGAGGGAGAAGCTTGCATGATAGCTACTTGCTGGTGTCTTTTGCTTGGGATGAGGTGCAAGTTTGCTGGCACCTTCCTTACGAATGTGAAAGGCCTTTGGCAGCGCTTGCAAGCGTTCTGGTTTTGGCAGTTGCTTATTTCCATGTATATGAGCTTTGTAACCAATATTAGCTTACAGTGGGTTGTACCACAGTGTATTTGCTCAGTTCATTCTGCTGCAGCCATAAATGATGTTATAGCTCTAATGATCGCACGCGCTAGATGAAAGAGAATTCTTATACATAATTTATTAAGCTGAGATTTCTCTAGTAAGCCATTTTAGCTTGGATAGAGATTAAATGACTAATTCTGAATGCTTTGGAGTATCGTGATGGAAAGTGCAAGTAGCTTTTCCAAAAGCTGATATTTGTGTCCTGGAATAAAAGAAGGAATGCAGTAGAACATAGATACGTTATTTGGGGCTTTGTAAGACTGAAGGAAATGGCAAAGAACGCTCTGCATTTTTACAAAGCAAGTGTGATTTAAAGCCAGAGCTCGTAGTGGGAGCATATTTCTGGGGGGAGCAGTGACTGCAACAGAGAAGTCTGTCTCCTGCCGGTATAAAATCGCTTGCTTTTGTACATGCAGCGGTGTGCTTATCCTGATGCCGTTCCAGCTGTGCCACTGGGCAGGGCTCCCGCCACCTCTTTCAGAAAGCGGTTTTAAAATACGACTGTGCTTTCC